CAACTCCTGGGCTCAAGCGAGTCTCCTGCCTCCGCCTCCCAAGTAGCTTGGACCACAGGCGCCCACCACAATGCCTGGCTATTTTTTTGGTTGCAGCCATCATTGTTGTTTGGCAGGTCCGGGCTGGATTAGAACCCGCCACCTTAGGTGTATGTGGCTGGTGCCTTAGCCACTTGAGCCACAGGTGCCCAGCAATTTTTCAGTTCTTGGACCTCTATCCATTTAAAGGTAGATTTTTACAATTATTTGGTCAATGCCTAAGTACAGGTTTCCTTTTCTTGTTTGTTTTTTTACTTCTTTCTTGGAAAGCCTGTTTGCTGCTGGCATTGACCCCTGAACAGATGGATACTACGTCTTTTTCTCTAGCTTTGTCCTCTTTCCACAGCTCTTGACCTCCTACCTGCTTGTTGTATCCTCTGTCTAGGAGTTCTGGGTAGCACGGCAGTCAAATGAGCTAATGCTGAAATAATTAGAATGCTCACACCAGGCCCTCTCCTTTTTTCTCTTCTCTCTTTCCTTAATGGCATCTCTGTCCTTATAGTCACCCAGGCCTAAAACCTCTGAGTCATCTTTGCTTTTTCTCTGTCTTCATCCTCCACACCAGGTCACCTTCCTGCCTCTGTGCTGGGTGCCTAGAATCTGTCTCCTCTTTTTCCTTTTCTGCTATTACTGTTCTAGTCCAGGCTTTCATTTGACCTGTTGCCTCCTAATTAGCTGACCTATCTCTGGTCTCTAACTTTATTTACCCTCTACCCTGAGGCCAGATGAATGATCTTAAGTCAGAGATTTAATCATCACACTTCCCTGATGAAAAAGTCCTCAGTGGCTTCCTCTAAATGTCAACTCTTACCATGGCATTCAAAGCCCTTAACCATGGCATTCAAAGCCCTTAACTGTCTGGCTCCTGCCTGCAGTTCCTGCCTCATGTTCCTCTACTCTCCTTAGCAAGCACCTCACCATCCGCTCTATGATCAGCCTCTGCCTAGGTGAAGTCCCACCCTCCTTCAATTGCTAGTTCAATTGCTACTTTCCCCAATTATTCCTACTTTCCTTTTCCTTTTTTTTTTTTTTTGAGAGTCTCATTATGTCGCTGTGGGTAGAGTGCCTTGGCATCACAGCTCACAGCAACCTCCAACTCTTGGGCTTAAGTGATTCTCTTGCCTCAGCCTCCTAAATAGCTGGTACTACAGGTGCCCGCCACAATGCCTGGCTATTTTTTGGTTGTAGTTGTCATTGTTTGACAAGCCTGGGCTGGATTCGAACCCGCCATCTCTGGTGTATGTGGCTGGCACCCTAGCTGCTGAGCTATAGGCACCAAGCCCTACCTTCCTTTTCTAAACACTGAACTCCCGTCCTAGCCAGAAATCACTTCTTTGTCCTTTGAACACTCCTGTTTTTTTGTTTGTTTCACTTATATGGTAGTGGCTATATTTGCTTTTGTTTTAATATTTGTGTGTGGTACCTACTCTCTCTACCAGAGTATCAGTGCCTGGGGGTCAAGGATGCCTCTGATTCACCTTGGGACCCCCACACCCCAGAGCAGCAGCATAGCATTGCTCACTGCAGGGCGATGTCTGTTGGAGCCTGTCTGGATGACAGTGCAGATTGTAGTAGGCCCTACTGCTCCACATGGCACAGGAACTCAGCATGTCGTAGGCATTAGTATTTCAGGGGCTCTAAGCTTGTCATGCCCACCAAAGTTACACCTTCTCCCTTTTGGCCCCAGCAGTTACATGCTCAGTAACACTATAATAATAGTCCTCTCAGCAAAACCATTTCAACATGCACAAGCAGGATGGGCCAGAGTCCCCACTCCTAACTCCTTTCTAAAGTCTGCTTGTTCAAAGGGGATCTTCTTTATACCTAAATTTCCCTGATGCAAACCTGGACTCCAGATGGTAGCTGTGGTTTAGTAGAAGGATCAGTGAACTTCAAATGAGAAGAATGCATTTTCTTTTTTCTTTCTTTCTTTCTTTCTTTCTTTCTTTCTTTCTTTCTTTCTTTCTTTCTTTCTTTCTTTCTTTCTTTCTTT